TGATTCCATCCCATCACTATTCTCTCTTCCTTTATTTCAGAAATGAGAGTGAATGATCATTGAAACAAGCTAAAAGTGAAAGATTGTGCCAAGATGCAAATTATACAATAAACTGGTGTTTTAAAAAGACTAAAAATTTCATTTGTATGTGTCATTATTACTGTATATAAAAAATAGGGACAAGAATGACTCATTTATATTTTCCAGATAAGTCTAGATATAGAGTTTGAAAATATTAACAGAAAGAGGTTCAAAAAATTTATATCATGTGTGAACATAGAAAATACCCATTCTACTTGGCCAGTGTTGAGCAGATGCCTTGGAAAAATACTGAGTGGATTTCTGCTTTGAGTAGGCTGACTCGTTTTAAATTAAAAACACATCAAAGAAACATGATATTTCAGATTATGCAAGGCCTTCTAATTTAGAATTTATTGAAAAACAGGTTTTGAATTTCTACCTTGGCAAGCAATAGTATTTTAAATGACAAAGACTATTCAAAATGACAGAAGGTAGATATTTCTCTGTTGTATAGATGATTTGTTGGCGAAAGAGACACATGTAAAAACCAATATAGACTTACCATTGGTTTTCATTATTTCCATACCTGCACCATAGGGTTCTGAAAATGCCATAATATTCCTATGCCTTAACTTGGTGGTGTAGGGTTACTACCAGTGTTTGGCAGAACTGATCATGCAAAGCTTCCAGTTCCAAAACCTCCATCTACTGTATCATGGAGTACAGTATGCAGCCTGGAACTTAAGAGCCAACTCTTTTTTTAGCTCAAAGCACCTAAAGACAGTTGCCTAGTGGCACAAGTATAACTTGAACCAGATCACTCTTCTTTGAAATTAAACAACAGCTGTAATATGCATGCTGATTTGGTTTGTCTTTAGGTTCACACTTTCATTACAAGCCAAAAATAGTTTTAGTTAATTTTACCCATCAAAGAAAATTCCAAGTTTTTAAGTTATTGCAATGTACACACCTTGTCCATGGGGCCTTAAAAATGAAGCAAATTTTCTTTCAATGGTTGGAAGTGAATTAGAGTATACAATAATCACTTCTTTCCTCCTGAGTTTTCAGTTAATTTGTGATGAATGGTCAGGATGAGTAGGTCAGCTCGATTTAACCATGTTTATGGGAAAAGTAAGAGGAATCAAGCAACATGACAGCTAAAAAATGTTGATTTACTAAAAAGAAAACTTAAAAATATTTAGATTCTTTTACTTTCAATGAAAAAATAATGGAATATTATATTTGTTGGGGAAACATCACATGACAGGTCCCAAGGAGACTGAAGTTCATAGAGGTTAAGAAACCTACTCAACATTACTTAGTTGGTAGTGATAAGAACACAGGTTGACTTTAAAATCCCCACAGCTGATAAATGGATGGAAGATAAAGTGCGGGTAATTTAGGGAAGATTTCCCATCCACTCCCCCCCCATTTCCAAAAACAATCTTCTTTTTCATTACCTAATTTGTGGGCAGTGCCACCATTAATGATTGGGTTCTGTGGACTAAGGCTTTCTTGGGGCTTCCCTTGGGGAAAATCTCACTGAGAGCCCAATCTTGTGATTAAATGTTTTTGAAGATCTGGCCTGGGTTAGGGTAAAGAAGAGAATATTGTAGTATTCTGTTAGGATCAGACTCTGTGCAGGGTGACAAGAGACAACGAGTAGAGAAAAACCATAAAAGTATGCAAAGCACTTGCTTTGGTGACTGGTAAAGAATGCTGATCACATTTGACTAAGGACTGAAAGTACTGTTGTCATGGAGCTGCTCTAACATGTTCTAGAACGATCATATAGTGCCTTGCTTACTTCATGGTATTCACATATTATTCTTTCTCACTGTTTATTCTGTTACAAACATCTGTTTATATTTACTACATTTCTAAAAACTGTTTCTGAAAATTTTATTCTTCAGGAAGTATTGGTTGAATTAAATGAGATTTTCATCAAGAGTGCTTTTGTCTGAATCCAATTTTTTTTTCTTTAACCACTTTTAGAGATACAAAGGATGTTAGTCAATGCATTCAGGCTGTTCAGGGCAGATAGCAATATTGAGCCATTCTTTCTGCTATTTTCAGTGTGTTTGTATGTCCTTTCATGCCCATTTCCCCAGCTAGTGAGAATAATTTACAATTATTTTTAATTATGCTGATTTAAAATTTATTAGAAATTGAGTTAGTATTTTCTAAAGATTTATTTGTATTTTTATTGGGAAGTCAGATTTACAGACAAGGAGAGACAGAAAGAAGGATCTTCCATCTGCAGGTTCACTCCCCCAAGTTGCCACAACAGCCAGAATGAGCCAATCCAAAGCCAGGATGATCTCCATGTGAGTGCAGGGTCCCAAGCCTTTGGGCCATCCTCTACCACTTTCCCAGGCCACAGCAGGGAGCTTAAAGAGAAGTGGAGCAGTGGGGACATGAATCAGCGCCCATATGGGATCCCGGCACTTGTAAGGTGAGGGTTTAGCCACTAGGCTACTGTGCTGAGCTCCTGAGTTATATTTTTGATATATTCTTCAGTTATCTTAGTTTTTATGATTTGGGGGGATTTTTTTCTGAGCTAAAATGCTTCAGTACCCTTAATCAGATGCCAACGGATAGCAATGAAAATTGACCTAAAGTGAATGGTATGTATCAGGTAATTTTAGAGGCTTTTCTTGATTCAGTCATGTTGCTTAGGATATAAATGTGGCAATGTTTAAAATGAAAAAATTCAATAACTTCTTGCTCACACAGATAGGATCTGCAAATGATGTGGACTACACAGCATCAGAACAATGTAAAGTTCATTCAGGAAGCACTCACTGAACCATAACGATCCATTGTATATTTGTTCTTGCCGCTCAAGAGATTATGTTTTTTTGGAGGGGGTGGGGAAACAAGTCACAGATTATTTATTTTGAACATCATCCTAAACTAATTTAGTGGTGTACTTCAATGTTAGTTATTAGAGTGAAAGGTCGAAGAAGCCAGAGCATGACCAGTATACCCAAGATAAGGAATTTATGTCCGGCTAGAGCAGGTCTAAAGAAAGGTAATATCATGATGTAACTTAATTACTTCAAGGAATTCTTTGACCAGGTATGATATTTGATCATGGGTCTGCAAGGCTGTGTGTATGCAATACACATAGAATGGAGTCAATATGTACCAGTGGGTGAAATACACACTGTTAGCTGCTAAAATAACATAATCTGGGAATGTACATATTTTTCCCAGTGTATTGCTGGAGAAAAATGGAGGAAAATGTGATCTAACTTTTACTGTCATTCAGTTACTTTCAAACTTGTGTAGCCACCATCATTTAGGGTGCCTGCAATGCACATGATGTCAGATACTGGTTCAAAAGCCCTAGAAAGGCACTGGGAATTGAATACGTAACAGACTTCCCAGCTGAGTGTTATGGATACGCAAGTTTGAGAAATAATGTCATACTTCATCTGGCATAAGATTGATTTTTGATGAATAGGCTTTTGCTCACCCTGACTCCTTCTCTCCTCCTATAGCTTCATTGTCTTCTCCATTAATATTTTAAAATTATCTGGAAAGGAGCTAACTTACTTTAAATCCATTCTGTCTCTAGGCTGGCACAGGTGAGATGAAACTTTCTGACACCACATCTATTATATCTGTCTTCCCGCAATTTAATCAGGTATTAAGGTGAAAAATCTGGTTCTTTGTAGAGTGGTGCATGAGAAAGAAGAGGATTTAATTTACACTACCTGGTATCAGGTATCAGGATGTAATAATATTGTGTTGGCAAAGCTATAAAAAGAAAATATCCAAAGCTTAAAAACCAAAACAAAATCCTAGCATTGAAAGAGGTCACCATTGGAGCAGATGGGATGGGGCAGCACGCCTGATCTTTAGAAGCTACTGAACCAAGAAGAATATGCAGCCCAAAATGAACATTACTTGGAGTAGATCATAAATGCTTAATCCAGCTTCAGTGGGAATGGTTAGGCTCTTACAGTAAGGAGCATATTGATTTGTTTTACTGTGTGGAAATCTCTAAACTATACTTGTAAATAATTTGCAGTCAACTTCATTACTTCCAGTGACTGTAATAGAAATTTCCTGTGCTTCATTCTTTTGGGTCTGCACTCTTTGTAATCAGAAAATATTTTTCCCAAAAGATGTCAACTTTTTTCACATTTAATTAAAAAATTTTCAAAGAATGAAATTCAAATGGCTGACAGAAAGAAATGTATGAAAAAAATGTGCACATTCACTAGCCATCAGGGAAATATAAAAACCATAATGAGGTTTCTCCTCACTGCGATGAGAATGGCTATCATTTCAGAAATCAGAAAACACCAGATGCTGGCAAGGATGTGGGGAGAGAGTACCCTGATGGTGAGAATGCAAACTGGGGCAGTTATTACAGAGGATAATTTAGAGATTCCTCTGAAGTCTGAAAATAGATCTACCATATGACCCAGTCATCCACTCCTGGGAATTTACCCAAATCAAATGAAAGTATTATCTGAGAGTTACCTGCACCCCATATTTATGGCAGTTCAACCCGAATGCCCATCAACTGATGATTAGAGTATGAAGGCCAGAGAGCATGGTGCTTTAGATCCCTCTGGAAGTATGTAAGTGACTTGCTTGAATAATTCTACAAAGATTCAAGGAACTGAAACTCGGTACTCGAGAATAATCAGGTACTATATCATACGACATCCTAATCAACTGACTCCTGGAACTGACAACCCTTAAGGCCTAGAACAGAGACTGAATTTTCACTGAAGGTCTTCTTTAAGGCCCTAGCAATGAATATTCTGAGAAATTAAAGTGATTGCCTTTGTTGCTGTCACTAGTGCCTAGAACACCAAATGTGATGAGGTACGTTCTGCTGAGGCCTTGCATTGTATCCTGTGTATATATGGAGCAATCTGATATTTAAAAATTTAGTTTTAATATCTACAGAGCAAGACATTTACAAACGTCCCTTTTCGTAAGCAGTACTTCGTGCTCAATGAGGTAAAAGTTTGTAATACTGTGCAGATGAGGCTACTTAACCAGGATACACAGTGCTAATATAATACCTGAATATAGTACCTGCACTATGCCCGTTGTGCTCGCACTTAGGTCCTGGACTTTATTAAGGACACCCTGGCCAAAATGAAAAGAAACAACTCTTTTGAGCTCCAGCATGTGTAATGGTAATATATCTGTATTATTATTCTTTCAGTTAATTCCAAGAGTCCAGGTAACCAAGAACTCTGGGAGAGGGATGACCTTCTTCAACATTGTGGTATGTGTAAAGGCGTAGAGGACATGGAAAGCCACTCCTTTCTGCTGGTGGAGCTGCAGAAGGTCCATGTTTGACTACATCTTGTAGGGAGATGATCTCAGTAGCTGTGTTAAGTTCAAGTGCTGCTTCAGTGGTTAAGTCATAATGGTTAGTTGGATACACAGTCACAGGCTCATGATCTGAAACACCCTGTTTCCAGAAGAGTCCACCATGTAGTCTGTGACTGCTGCTCTAATGGACCATAGTGCTAGGTCAAGATCGTTGCTTATATCAGAAGTTCAAGGGCGAATTACAGCCATCGTTGGTAGCACAGTGATTCCAGGAGGCCTGAGGTGAGCTTACTAAATCCTCTGAAGGTCCTAACTTTGGGTGCCTCTTGTTTTTAATTTTTATAGAATTTATAGCCTTATGTTGGAGGGGTTTCACTTCAAGATGGGTCCATTTGTAGGTAACAACATTAATGAATTAAGTAAAACTTATAAAATAGTATATTGTCTCCATAACTCAAAATGGGGAAAAAAGGTATTTTGATTGCCTTGCTCCTATGGATGGTGAGAAAGCCAGTTCCTGTCTTGAGATTCAGAGATGAGGCAGGCCTTGGTTAACTAAGTATTTTTCAAGAATATCATAGTGGTGGCAAAGCTTTGTACTATGTATGAGGTACACAATGACCTACTCATCTTCTTTCTGTAGTTCTTTTGTATTTGAATAAGGATGTTGAAGTTTGGTTAAAGAGAAGGAATTCAAGTATATTTATTTTGATGCAAAAACTTGAAATGCATGCTCATTTTTTTCATAATACACACTTTTAATGAATTTTCTAAAGATCTTTCTTTTGAATAGATTTAAAAACATATTTTTTACTATCATACATTTATGTTTGAATTCTGCTTTCCATGAATGTTTTGAAGCATACCTTCTTATATTTTACTTAGTATGCCAGATAAATCTACTTATGGGAGTATGTCAACAATGTAATATCATGCCTGTACTCCCCAAGAGAAGCTGATGCAGTTAAGGTCTTGCCAGTAAAGACTGCGTAATGTCAAAGCTGCTGAGTTATTCTATGGATAGCCTGCTAAACTTGGAAATAAAAGCATACTGCTACTAACAGGTTGATAAAGTGGGTACTGAACTGAGTACATCAGCTAAATTTATAGTAGAAAACTATCACTTGCTGATTGGATTGAACATCAATGTCAATAATTGGCTTATAGTGTAAGGGGCCTTCATGATGGGGGATCATAACGCTAAATGGCAGCAATCTACTATGGGGTACTATTCACTTTGTTCAGCTTTAAGCATCAGCTAGCTGAGCCAAGTTGGGCTGTTCAGTAAAGAAGCAGTGGGGGATGATCACTCCATTCACTCCTAAGCTATTACATGACAAGTTTTAATCCTTGACTTGTCATTATTTTAAATTACAATGAGCCATGTTAATTATTTTAACTTGTAGTGGGAGGAGGGGAGTCATGGATTTCAATTTTGTCAGGCCAATTTGTATGACAGTGTTAATTTAATTTTCATTTAGTTTCTATTGAGTCATAATGCCTATGCCCATCATGGGATATTTTAGGATAAGGTGTATTCTGATCATAGGGAATGTAGATAAGAGAGTGATTCTGATAGCTAACTTGAGACATAAGAATTTGTTCCTTCTCTAAGACTAGGATACCATGATTTGTTTTTTGATAATTTGGCCCTTAAAATTGGCTAAAACTATGAAGGTTTTCCAATTTTTTAAAAAGATATTTAAAATCCATGACCTATGTTATAGAGACACAAAAACCAATCAAAAACATCTTATTTGTTATATAAATTCTTTAAGTAAATTCTGAATTTCCAATGGTATCAAATTTCGAGCCTTTGTCTTGGATTTTTATTCATTTCCTTTATTTTTGAGAGCAAGGGAGAATTGACTGAGACAAAAGACTTTTATCTGCCGGTTCATTTCTCAGATACCAGCATTGGCCAGGCTAAAGCCAGCAACCAGGAGCTTCATCTGAGTCTCCCAAATGAGTATAGGGCTTCAGCTACTTGTGCTGTCACTCACTGCTTTTCCAAGAGATTCGAAGTAAAGCAGCTTTAATTTGAACTGACACCCATGTGGGATGCACGTGTCAAGGCAATGGCTTGATCTACTATGCCCCAGTTTCCATTCTTTCTCCTGTCTTTTTATCTACCTATATTCCCCTGACCCCACCTCCTTTTTTATTTATTTTTTAAAATGTTAAGAAAATCTTTATGGTTAAGAAAACATTATATATATATATTCATGCAATAGAGTACAATTTGTCAATGTGTATAAAACATATTGATCAAATCAGGATCATTAGCATTTCCCACTTTGGCGCTACTTCGTGATTGAAGACTTGGAGATCCTCTGTTCTTTAGCTCAGAAAATGTTTAGATTCTTGTTGACAAAAAAATTCCTCTTTTTTTCTGTTTGTATTTATTGTTATTGGTGATGGTCCTGAACATGCTAGGTAGTGGTAGTGGAAGGTTCTGTCTACCCTGGTCATAACCCCAGAGCCCCAAATCATTCATCAAGCTTGGGCATCTCTCTGCTAGCAAGGATTGATTTATGTTTTTAAAGACTCTGGGCATAAATTGGATTTCACTTCACCTCTTCATTGTGTCACAAGGTTGCAGGAGTATTTCTCTAAAACTGTGGGCGTTAGGATCTCTCTTGCAACAGACACAATGGGCAGACTGCTGCAGGAGGAGATTGCCAGGCCAACCACCAGACTCCATGAATCAAAACTGCTCTACGCCATTGCCCCATTTTTTGATCACATAGGTTCTCTCTTCATTTTACTCTTTTTTCCTTTGTTTGTCTCCTTCTTTTGTTTTCATAAGTTCCATAAGAATGTTTTGAGTTTCCAGTATTGTAAATTTGCATTTTGGGTTTGTGTCTCTACACCACAGGTTCATGCCTTTTGGGCTGTTTCAGGGAAATGTTTGGGAGTTCAGTTGCCTTCTTTGTAAACAGCTGCCTCTTCTTCCCAGGAGTGCCAATCAGTCTCCTTGCAATAGAAGTCTGCATTTTACTAAGTCATTCCCCAATGAATCAGCAAAGGGGCTGATGATTTGAGATTAGCCTTTAATATGCTGGGAGGTAGTAGTACTATACCCATGCACATTGGCTGTGGGTTTGCAGTGCAAGATCATTGAATGCCAAATAGTCCTTCCTCTTCCATCCTCTTTTTTTTTTTTTATCAGCCCCTGAGCCTCAGGCCACCATGGATGCACTTGGAGGTAAGGAGAGTACAAGCAGCAACAGGAAGGCAAGCAGCAACACAGGAAATCAGCAAGGTTACTCCCATTACTTGAACAAAAATCACAACCAGGATGCAATGCTTAATTCTCTGTAGGGTAGTGATTACTTTGCTTTCTACAAACCCTATAAAGCACTGTCCTTTGGCCTGTGCTGTGCATGCATGATTACAGCAACATAAAGATATTTGTCTCAAATAATTAGTAATGCTTAGTAGACTAGAAATAGGAGCCAGAGAATTCTGGCATTACTTTTGGTTATTCACTGTGTCATCACTGTCTTTGCAGGCAAGTCTCAAATAAAACCAGTCAAGCACAGGCTGCACCTGATAGAGTGTCACCCCCATGATATAATTAACAGTTTTTATTTGGGAGCCAAGAGCATTATAAGAGGTGCAAGTGATGGTAGTTTCTGACAAAGACAACACAGTAATATGTAGATGTTAGCTCAAGATGATCAGCATTGAACCGTTCTGCCCAAGACAACCTTCCAAAGCCAGCAGCCTGAAAGCCCTTCTGACCTTCCATGTGTATTCAGGGGCCCAAGCAGTTGAGCTAGCCTTCACTCTTTTCTGAGCCGTAAGGAAGGAGCTGGATCATAAGCATATAGGAATCTAACCAAAGCCCATATGGATTGCAGATGCTTCAAATGGAGGATTAGTCTGTTGAACCACCCCAGATATTGGAATTTTTAACAGAGATTTTAAAAGATTCAGTATAAAGGAGTAAATGGGGGTTGAAAAATCTCTTTTGCAATGCATAGAATATAAGTAGGAAACATTTTGTTGTATGTTGGGCAAATAAGAGGCAACAATGTAGTATTGTGAAAACTAAAACTACCACACACAAAATTGGAAATAAGCAGTATTTTAGAAGATAGGATTACATTTTCATATTTTAGGCATTTATATTATTTTTGTTTTGAAAAGCAACATATACGTGTAAATTACTACTAAGTTATTACAATAGAATTAAAACAGAAAAAGAACTAAGTAGAATGTCTACAAAAAAAGAGCATTATAATTAAAAATAGACACTCAACAAACAGATTATGCAACAAGGTAAACACAGCTGAAGAAAGAAATGGAGACCTAGAAGGCAGATTTGAAGGGATAATACAGCATGGAGCACAGAGAGACAAAAAAAAAAAAAAAAAAGGGAAAGATTGGGAGGCATAGGTGTGTCTCTCCAGTGCCTCCCTGTCCAAGGAAATAATAAAGAATGAAAAGCAATATTGAAAGATACAATACCTGATAATTTTCTAGAACTGATGAAAATCTCAAAACAATCCTAATAAATTCTAAGGGGAATTAATAGATTTTACATAAGCCATTTATGACATTTTGTGCTAACAAAGAGATAAATCTCAAAGTAAACCAGAAGAAAAACCTTTCAACAAAAAATAGAAGTTCCACCAAAATCGTATTTGTTAGAATCAATATGGATACCTACATCTACACATCATATAGAAAAGTATCCTGAGACCTTGATCCCAGGTGAACCAATACTATGCTGCAGTTCTAATCCAAGCCCCCACATCAGAAAAGGCAGAAAAGAAGTTCTCCTTTATTCTATCTTACTCAAGCCTTCACTGAATTGGGTGAATCCCTCCCACGTTGGGGAGGACTATGTGCTTCACTCAGCCAGCTAAATAGATGTTAATCTCATCTGTATACATTTTCACACACACTTCCAGGGTAATTTTTTAAAAAATGTATTTATTAACATTTGAAAGACAGATTTTACAGAGAGAAAGAAGGAGAGATAGAAAGAAGGTCTTCCATCTGCTGGTTCACTGGCCAAATGCCCGCCATCGCTAAGGCTGAGTTGATTTGAAATCAGAAGCAAGAGCTTCTTTCAGGTCTTCACTGCTTTCTTTCAGGCCATAAGCAGGGAGCTGGATCAGAAGTGGAGCAGCTGGGACAGGAATCACCCACATGGTTTGCTGATACAGCAGGTGGAAGATTAGCATGCTCTGTCACCAAGATTAGCATGCTCTGTCCTTTGGCATAATTTTTAACCAAATACCTGGTCACCTTTTGGCTCGGTCAAGTCAATATATAAAATCAATCATCAAAATCAGTCAAATACTTAGCAGTAAAAATGGACTGCATTGGAATCATATTGTAGAGCACTAACAGAAAGCAATTTCAACTTATAAGTGTGTACCTTGTAAGGAATGCCAATTAAACTCACAGGAGATCTCTCACAGGAAACTCTACAGGCCAGAAGAGAATGGAGTGACATATTCCAGATTCTAAAAGCAAAAAATTGTTGGCCTAGGATAACATGTCCAGCATACCTTTCTTTTGTCTTTGGAAATGAAATAAAATTCTTCCACAGTAAAGAAAAGTTAAAATAATTTACCTCTTCCAAACCTCCCTACAAAGGATATTTAAAAATGTTTTCTTCACAGAGAAGAGGACTAGCACTAAACAAAACTAAAGGCAAACGAAAAGAACATCCCAGTAAAATGACAACAGAAGACTAAATCAATGCACAATCCATTCCTAAAATGACAGGACCAAAGTACCACCCATACATATTAAGCCTGAATGTAAATGGCTTAAGCTCCATCAAACATCATAGATTAGTAGACTGGATTAAAAAAGCAAAACCCATCTATCTGTTTGTTGTCTGGAGGAGACAGATTTCACCAACAAAAATCAGTGGAAACTATATCACATGGGTTTTGATGTTTTCTGTTAGTTTCATCTCTTCAAAACACTTTCTTCTGATTAAATCATTCAATGACTCATAGATCATACCGTAGCATCATTTTCTTCAAGAAGGTTCTTCATTTTCAATTCTTCAGCTACATGTTAGTCAATTAGTAGCATGTTATTTAACTTCTTTTAATTTCTTTTTTCTTCCTGATGTTGATTTCGTTTTGTGGCTTTTCATTTAAGGGGATGTAAGCTGTGTAATGGAGACGTCATATAGAGTAACATGTCATTTAACTTCATGGCATTGTAAATTTCTATTTTTCTTTCTATTGATTTTGTATTATGACTTCATTTGAGGGGATGTAGAGTAGCTGTGAAATGGAGACTAACATATTCCGATGTGAGGATACAATGTAGTATGCATTTCTACTCCCAAAGATGGATTTACAATGAAACTGTGTGCTATATCTTGACAATAGATGCTGGACTCTCTGCCATTGTCCATGCCTGCAATGATGAACATATGACTGTATATGAAGAACTATACTATAGTAATGATAGAAAGGAACTAGGTGGTGGGTGGAGATTGGGGCTGGAATAAGAGAAATACCAGGAGCCTATGGAACTGTATCATATAATAATAATAATAATAATAATTTTTTAAAAAAGAAGTGTGTACCTTATAAGGGTGAGGATTAAAACAGGTCTTCTCAGGCCTAGAGTTTCCCAAGGCTCTATAGCTTGGATGAAGATAAATTGTCTCAAAATTTTTTAATCATGGAAAAGAATATTATGTAAGTGCAATGATATTGTGAATATGTATAAAGCATTTCTTAAATACTTCCATCTAGACCCTATGCTGTGTCGGGGCAGATAAACCCACCATCCTCATCCCGTATACGTGCCACTTCATGCCTCAGCTGTTACACTTCCCATGCAGCTCCCTGATATTATGTGTGAAAATAGTGGAAGATGGCCCAAGTGCCTGGGTCCTTGTACCCACACAGCAGACCAGGAAGAAGCTCCTGGCTTATGGCTTTGGATGGTCCCACTTTTCCTGGAAGTAAACAAACATATGGAACTTCTCTGTCTCTCCCTTACTCTATGTAACTCTACCTTTATATAAATAAAAATTTAAAAATTTTTAAAAATAAAAACTACTTAGATTCATGACAAAGTATTTAGATATGCAAATCAGGCTATAGGAAGCTTATTTTCTTTTTAAAATTTTTCATGATACAGTTTCATAACAACAGGAATTCTCTCTTACACCCATTCAATCCCCGCCTTTTCCCCCATATTATTATGATAGTATAGTGCTTCAGTAACAGTCACAAGTCTAAAATTCTGCCATTTAAGTGTATCATGGCATTTTAGCTATAGAAAAAGATAGAATCTAGTATCCTATTGTAAACACATATTTAACAGTTTTATTGGGAGTCCTTTTTTTTATTTGGGAGTAGAGAGGCACAAAGCAATGTATCAATATGTAGTCCCCATTTTACAGTTCATATAGGTGGATACATGTAAATGTGTGTATCTGTATATCTGATCTTGTATTTTGCATGAAGGTTGCATTACATCACAGAGAACATATGGTATTTTCTCTTTTAGGATTGGCTGATTTCACTGACATAATTGTCTCTAGTTGGAACCATTTTGTTGCAAATGGTAGAATTTCATTTTTTTTTAAATTGCTGAGAATTATTCCATGGAGTAGATATACCGTAGATTCTTTATCCAGTCCTCTTTTGGTTGTTTCCATGTCTTCACTATTGCAGATTGTGTTGCTATAAATACAGGACTGCAGGGCACTTTCTCACATGCAGATTTCATTTCCCTTGGATACAATCCCAGCAGTGGGATAGCTGGTTCAGATGGTAGATTCGTTTTTGGTTGTTTTAGCACTCTCCATACTGACTCCCATAGTGGCTGCGCTATTGAAGGTTTCCTTTCTCCCTACATATTTGCCAGCAGGTGTTGTTAGCAGAGTTCTGAATGTAGGCCATTCTCGCTAGAGTTAGATGGAACCTCAATGTGGTTTTTAGTTATATTTCCCTGATAGCTCGAGAACCTGAGTATTTTTTCATATGTTAGCCATTTGAATCTATTCTTTGAACAATGCTGGCTCATTTCCCTCACCCATTTTTTCACAAGGTTGTTTTGCTGTCACTGAGTTTCTGAATTGCTCTGTAAATCGTGGATATTAATCTGCTATCTGTTGTGCAGGGTTGCAAAGATTTTCCTCCCATTCTATTGGTTGCTTCTTCGCTTTGTTTCCTTTGCTGTACAGAAGCATTTTTGTTTGATGTAGTTTGTTTATTTTGGCTTTGACTGCCTGCACTTGTTAGAAAAGTCACCAAAATGCAACTTTGTTTTGCAGAGTGCTTCCTATGTTTTCCTCTGATAATTTGATGTATTCTAGATATATTA